TTAGACGCAGTACGAGTGAGATGACTCAGGAAGCCTGATATTGGTGAACAAGGCCAGTAGTTTGATAGCTTTTCTTGTAAAAAATCCTAGATGGCCCTGGCTGGAGAGAACAGAGTCAAGTTGGAACCGACCAAACTGCAGGGTAATAGATGTAATAGAAGTATTGCGAAGCAAGTGATGATCTGATAGTTTTTACTATCCCAATCTTTTAGTCGGTCGGCATATTTGGCAGCGGATTCCGTGGTCTCTTGGATGGGTTTGCACACATCCCAGTGATGATGCGCCAAAGTTTCTTTCCTTTGAGGAAGCCAGACATGGCTTTGTGCCCATAAGACATAATTAGTCCCGGCAAGAACAACGGAAAATATGGTGGTTAAAGGAGTCCGGTATCCATGAGGGAAAAACAGCACAATCAAGGTAGAATCTGAAAAATCGAGGGTAACAGCGAATGCAAAGGCAAAATTAGGGGGGAACCGTCTGACCGCCAGAAAAGTCCAAATATAGGGCTGAACCGGCCTTGGGAAGTTTCTAAGCCGGTTTGAGCTGAACTGGCTGGAGCCAAAGGCAAGCGAAGGCGAAGGTGTTGTGCAAGCGGCTTGCGCTGTGAGAGCGGCGCGGCTGTGCGTGAGAGCGCGCGGCTTGCGTGGTGGCGAGAGCAGCGAGAGGCGGCAGCTTGTGCATGTGGCGAGAGCGGCACGAGTGAGTGGGGCGCACGGGAGCGGCTTCTGACGCGTGTAGCGCATGTGACGTTGAAGGCGAAAGGGTGACGCGCCGGCGAGAAATTGAGTCCGTGGAGGCGCGTTAAGGAAGATCTGAGGATGCCGTTGGTGGCGTTGGAATCGTGAGAGGATTCCGAACACGTTTGTAGGTAGTGTGGAAAATTTTTGAGAACAAAAAAGATCTAATCAGTGATGAAAACATAGAGAGCTACCAGAAAATGTGATGTTTCTGGTTAATGAGCTATATATTTGAAGCTCTGAAACCATGTAAAATAAGTTGAGAGAGTGATATTGAAAGGAGTAAGCTCTGTGATTCAATATATTCAGAAATCAGATAAAGGCTCCATTATATAGGAGCTGTGTTACAAACAATCATTATCATTATATACGATTCAATATAATAATGAAAAGGAGGCCGAAAGGAGACCGGCGACCGAAGCAGGAAAAGGAAAAGGAATCCTATCTATCTTTTAGCTAGCTGTATGTCAATATATTATACATACATTAATAGTTTGTACATACATTAATATATTAACATATTAACACTAACCACATAGCAGTATAGAGTAAATCAAATGCAAACAGTATAGATCTATAGCATACGATTTATTTCCACAACTATGGCAATCGAAGCTTCATTTATTTTCTTGTAAAAAGTGCAAAAAGTTTACCGGTTCGCTGGCATGGTTTATATGATTTCTTAAGGAAGTATGGCCAAAATTGAACATTTTTCCCCTATCATTTTAGTCAGAAAACCACAAGGACAACCAAAGCACAATCAAGCATAAACAGGCTCGTTCCACTAACAATCAGATTATAATTGGTGTTTTGCACCTTCAATTTTTTTTACATTTTGGTTCATAAATCATAAGCTTATTCGGCATTATGATTTTATAGCATAAAGGACACTCAATATTTTCATGATGTCTAAGGTCCCTCAACATCAATCCAGAGAAAATTCGATCCAGAGAATTTCTCTGGGGTTGAAACTAGAGAAATTTTCTGATTTTTTAACTGAATTTTCTCTGGGTTGAAACCAGAGAAATTCTCTGGTTTTTTAACTGAAAGGGCTTCTAATTAATGCTTACACGAAGATGGAAATCAAACAGATACATATATATAGTTTCTAGGGAATTTGAGAGGCTGCGGACATGGCTAGTTTGGCTCTCAGATCTTTTCTCAATATCTTTCCAGAAGGAGACTTTGGAATGGCATGAACAAAGTACACTTTGTGCAGTTTCTTGTAAAACACCACCTGCTTGTAAAATTCACGGCCAAAAATAAGAAACCCATTTGGTGAATTAATTGGTTTGGTTTTCACGTTTAGAATCATTAATCTCATCACTCACAATAATAGATACATAAACATAGACTTACCTGCTTTGCTATGAATTCTTTAACAGCATCTTCTGTAAGTTCTAACCCATTTATAACTAGTAAATCATAAAATTCTTCCTCCATCAAAAATAACAAATTATTTCTAAATCATAAAATTCCAAACGCCCTTTTAATTTTAAAATTAAAAATTGAAAACTTATTTTTCAAAATTGAGCACTTTTCAATAATTGAGGACTTTAATTTTCAAAATTAAAAATTGAAAACTTTAAAAATTGAGGACTTTTTAAAAGTTTGAACTTTTAATTCATATCTTTTAATTTTTAATAATTTTTTAATATTTAATGAAAAAATTGGTGATAAATTCAATCTAATTGTATAAGAGCATCCGCATCAGCTGAGGCAAAATAACAAAAGGTTAAATATAGCTAGTAAATCATAAAATTCTTCCTCCATCAGAAATAACAAATTATTTCTAAATCATAAAATTCCAAACGCCCTCTTAATTTTAAAATTAAAAATTGAAAACTTATTTTTCAAAATTGAGCACTTTTCAATAATTGAGGACTTTAATTTTCAAAATTAAAAATTGAAAACTTTAAAAATTGAGGACTTTTTAAAAGTTTGAACTTTTAATTCATATTTTTTAATTTTTAATAATTTTTTAATATTTAATGAAAAAATTGGTGATAAATTCAATCTAATTGTATAAGAACATCCGCATCAGCTGAGGCAAAATAACAAAAGGTTAGATATAGCTAGTAAATCATAAAATTCTTCCTCCATCAGAAATAACAAATTATTTCTAAATCATAAAATTCCAAACGCCCTCTTAATTTTAAAATTAAAAATTGAAAACTTATTTTTCAAAATTGAGCACTTTTCAATAATTGAGGACTTTAATTTTCAAAATTAAAAATTGAAAACTTTAAAAATTGAGGACTTTTTAAAAGTTTGAACTTTTAATTCATATTTTTTAATTTTTAATAATTTTTTAATATTTAATGAAAAAATTGGTGATAAATTCAATCTAATTGTATAAGAACATCCGCATCAGCTGAGGCAAAATAACAAAAGGTTAGATATAGCTAGTAAATCATAAAATTCTTCCTCCATCAGAAATAACAAATTATTTCTAAATCATAAAATTCCAAACGCCCTCTTAATTTTAAAATTAAAAATTGAAAACTTATTTTTCAAAATTGAGCACTTTTCAATAATTGAGGACTTTAATTTTCAAAATTAAAAATTGAAAACTTTAAAAATTGAGGACTTTTTAAAAGTTTGAACTTTTAATTCATATCTTTTAATTTTTAATAATTTTTTAATATTTAATAAAAAAATTGGTGATAAATTCAATCTAATTGTATAAGAGCATCCGCATCAGCTGAGACAAAATAACAAAAAGGTTAAATATGGCTAGTAAATCATAAAATTCCTCCTCCATCAGTCTTAACAAACTATTTCTAAATTAACTTTTGCTTGAATTTGCTACAATACCTCAACAACATTAGTTATTCAATAGTTTATTATTATTTTTAGACAGATTGATCTATTTTTTATTATAATTTCCCACGCATTGGACATCCTCCCGGATGTCCCTGCAGAGAAGGAAGTTTTGTTGAATTTTGGCCTGATCGGTCGACCGCTCAATCGTCTGGCCGGTTGACCGGCCCTCAATGGGTTTGCCTCCTTCGACTGCTGCTCTCTGCTGTTGCTGCTATGGTGCATTGAAAAAAATATATTTAAATTGAAAAAGAAAATAAAAAATAATATTTTAATGAAATAGAATTTTAGAATAGAGAGTTTGATGGAATGTGTATATAAAAAAAAGGTTAGCTAAAATAAAAAAATGGATGTTGAGTTATAATTTGACTCAAAATTTGCTGAGGCTAATGCGGATACTCTAAGGCACTAGTGTATGACCGTGACTAAAGGCAAAGTACAATTAATAATGAGATCAAAATATAAATAAATATTAAATTATTAAGTTAAAATGTAATTTATCTTGCTAAAAGTTTAAGGTCAAAATATAATTGCAAGTTCGATTGGTTTCGGCTTTCAAATAAATTTTATAAAATTAGCGGTGCATAAATGCACAGGTTGCTTATGTGTTGTGGGTTTTGTATAACAAAGTTATGTTAAAAAAAAATAAAAAAAACTCTTTCTTTTTATTTTTAAACAAATCACACTACCCCATTATCTCTCATCTTTCTGTCTCACTTGCCTTGCCTTTCTTTCTCACTTACCTTTTGAAAAGATTCCATAATAGTAAAACATAAATCACTTTTGTCATTTTTTTTTTTTAACAGAACCTAATTTAAATTTTGAGTTCAAATTTATCTCCAAAAAAAAAAAAATTCCAAAAAAAGTGGATTTAAAATAAAAACAGCATTTAAACCCACGTTTTTATTTTTTTATTTTTAATAATGTTACATTTCTTAATAAACAACATTTTTTTTTATATATTCTTAAAAATTTTGAATTCAACATTGTCAATCAAAAAATATATATTTTTTTTTGACATAATCACATTCACAATTCCATTTTTAAATAGTTTTTTTCTCTACATCCCGCCCTCCCCAAACATAAAACATTGGACATCGGCTAGCAGAATTGGACATTGGCTACCAGACTATTTGGTAGTATTTTTATAAAAAAAAAAAAATTCTTCTCTCCACTTGATTTTTTTATTTTCAAAAAATACTTTTTCAACAAAGTAGATGAACTTAAAAAATTATCTAATCTCGTGTGATATGATATGATTGTTTAGGAAATTACTATTTTAATAAACTATCTTAGCCGATTAGAATTTTTATGTTTAAAAAAATAATTAAATTTTTATAATAAGCTATATGTGTGCATGGGTAAAGTATCCGTATATATATAAAGGAAAAAGCTTCATACACCCACTGGGGGTCGACCCCCAGTGAGGTGTCGGCTCCGGATTGGTCCCAAAAAAAAAACTGTTTTTTTTTTTTTTTTTTTTTTTTAAGTTGGGGAACTCAGTTGGAGAGTACTGACAGAATAGATTAAGCCCAACAACCTGTCACAGAAAGATAAGAGCCCGGATCACTGAAGTATCTTCGCGTATCCCAAACGTATCCGAAATTCAAAAAACAAAAAAAAAAAAAAAAAATTTTTTTTTTTTTGGCCAATAATAGAGTGCCACCTCACTGGGAGTCGACCCCCAGTGAGTGTATGAGGCATTTTTCAAAATATATATATATATATACTCATTTTTGTGTGTGTGATGTTGTGTCCAGTGGTCTGCGTGGTACGGAACGCACATGGGTTGTCCTATGGGTTAATTGGCTCATTTTTTATTATTATTATTATTTCTTTTCCCATCTTTTCTGCCACTGTCTCTCTCTCTCTCTCTGTCTAACTTTTAGAGAGAGAAAATTCAACTCTCCCTCTTTGGCAATGTGCTTTACTCCGATCTCTCTCTCCCCGATCTCTTAATATTTTTGAATTTGTTATTTTATTTATGGAATCATAAAATAAAATTCAATCTCTAAATTTTTTTAGTATTATTTTAATTTAATTTTTTTTTCTCTTTTTGATGTTATGTTTGATTGGAGATTTAGAAAAAGATTTAGGCTTGGTTTGAGAAGTGGGTTGGCTTTTTGACTTTTTGATTTTTTTGGCTATTTTAGCCTGGGCTTAAAAGCTTGGTTTGGGAAGGACTTTTTGACTTTTTGGCTTTTTTGAGTTTTTTTGTGAGAGAAGAATGTAATGATTATGGGTTGGATGTGATGTTTTGTTTGTTAGGGCTAAAATAGCCTATTTTGTTTTTTGTGGCTAAAATAGCCAAAAAAGCCTGCAAACCCACTTGCCAAACACAGAGAAAAAAAAGATAAAATATTAATAAAATATACATATATTTTACTTAATTTCATATATTTTTTTTCCTTTTCCTTTTCTTTTTTAAATTCCTTGTCAAATCTCGTAACAAAATACAGTGTAAAACTTATAACAAATTACAATAAAAACATAAGGAAAATGTTATGAACCTCAACTAATTTACCAAATATTTTATCAAATCTCTCGCATGGGTGTAAGACCCATATAAATCCACATGTGTGTAAGTCCCTACATCCATATAAGAGGTTTGGTAAAATATTTAATAAATTATTTGGATTCCCTAACATTACTCAGTGCTATTTTGGGAACCAAAATAAAAAGTCACGTTTTTTATCTTTGGTCTAAAAACGCAAGTGGCAAAAACGCAACAAAATTGGTTTGAGAAGTTATAAAAACGCAAGTATGAAATTACAAATTGGGACTTATGACAAAAAAATAAAAAAATAAATTTCTTATGTTGGGTAAGGATATTTTGGTCATTTTAATTTGATTTGACACCATAAATAAATATTAAACTAAAAAATCAAAAACTAGCTTTTTACTAACTTCCCAAATCACTTTTCAAAAAGCTAAAAAACTTGGTAAAAAATCAAAAGTCAACTTTTTACCAACTTTCTAAAACATTCCTCAAAACATAAATACACACAATAAATGCATCACAAAAATCAATAGTTGAGAAATCAAAATTGTTAAATCAAAGAAATGGTCTCACCACGGTTCTCACTTTTTTTGGGGGGCACCCTTTAGTGTCTTTATCTCCCACTCATTCTCTCTCTATCTTCCATCACTGATTGGCCTTGTTTGGTTTGTTTTAAAAAGTAAATTTTGGAGAAATTTTTTTAAAATTTTGTTTGGTTTAGTAATTTTGGAAAAAAAAATTTCAAAATCACTTTATATCTTGTACACATCAATCAATTATTTTTTTCTCTCTCTTCTCTCATTCTCAATCACTTTTTCTCTCACACACATCTACTCAACTACAACAAAATATCAAATCATTTCAAACTCACAAACTCCAAAACGATTTCCAAAATATACGACCAAATAAACCAAAAAAATTTCTAAACTCTTTTCTCAAATTTTTTTTTTGAAAATTTATCTTCCAAAACGAAACCAAACACACCATCCTAAGGCCTTGTTTAGAATATACTATATAAGGCCTCATTTGAGAATAAGGCCCCGTTTGGGGACTTACTTTTTTAGCCAATTAGCCAAAAGGTTACTAAATTAGC